TACGGTCGCTCAGTAGTGTAGTTATTTTTTCCCGGTAATCAGAAGTGTTGAGGACTACTGTGCATCTTCCTTTATCAGCTGGTAAAATGGTGATGTTTTGGTCCTGGCTGAGTGATGTTATAGCTTTCCTTTCCTGTGTTGTGAGGTTTGAAGGAGGCGGTTTGGCACTGGAGAGGGTTGCTGATATTTCCATTCTGAGCTGTTCTGCCTCTCCTTCCGTTAAGTTGTTGTTCCTAATCGCGGATTCAGTGGCCGTGATTAGTTCCACAACAAGTATTTCTTGAGGGGAGATGGCAAAATTTAGTCCTTTTGCCAGCACATCTTTCTCAGGTTGTGTCGATGTCCTGTTAGACAAATTTCTAACCCACTGGTCCTGAAAATTAGTGTTGGCAACAACCTCCTGATCTTGACTGATGGTTTGTGAAGAGAAAACCGCTTAATGTTGTAATTTTAGAAACTTACTTTTTTGACGTTCCTTGCTCTTTTGATGTTGTGATAGCTGGGCCTTTTCATCAAAACAAGAAACTTCTTCCAACAGAGGAAATGGTAGCAGAGTAGACAGCTTCTGGAGGGTCTGATCCATTTTGAGTGAGAGAGCTTCAATGGTGAAGTGTATCTGTCTTATTCTCTCACTGAGCAGCTTGTTTTTAGCTTTCAGGAGTATTTCCTTTACTTTAAAACAGATTCCCAGCCGGTTTTCACACCTGATGGGAACAGAGAGGCCTTGTCAGTGAATTAGAGGAACAAAGACCTACTGTTTAGGTGTTTAGGTGTGAACTGCCAATCTACATATGTGTGTGTGTGTGCATTATATGTGTCTTTATTATTGTCTTTATTATTGTTATCATCATTATTGTGTCTTATGTGTGTGTGTGTCTTATCTCACTCAGCCTTATAACCTGTATCTCTCACTCTCTGCTCTTTGAATTGAGAAAGCTCCTCGGATGAGGAGCGAAACGTCTTCTGTTACAAATAAAGTCCAGTTGTTTTTGTATTGAACGCTTTTTGAAAACATATTATTTTGTTTAAAACATATGGCTAAAACTACATTTGATATCTTTTGCACTGTTTTGCACTACAAGAAAGAAGCCTAATACTTGATTTGTTTATTATTTAAAAACTCTCTGGACCTAGTAGTGGAATTTTCTTATTTCAAAATATATGATGGCAAAAGGACACCCTATGGTTTTATTTATTTTTTTTTAGCAAGTTTTATACCAAAAACATATTGCGATATATATCGTTATTGCCACCCTTCACAATACATATCGTGATATGAATTTTATGCCATATCGCACATTCCTAGTGTGTTGTAGAGTGCTGTATGAATGGGTGTGTAGTAGAGTGCTGTATGAAGGTGTGTGTAGTAAAGTTCAGTATGAATGTGTGTGTAGTAGAGTGTTGTATGAATGTGTGTGTAGTAGAGTGCTGTATGAATGTGTGTGTAGCAGAGTGCGGTATGAATGGCTGTGTAGTAGATTGCTGTATGAATGGCTGTGTAGTATTGATGTATGACTGAGTGTGTAGTAGAGTGCTGTATGAATGTGTGTGTGTGTATGTATATATATATATATATATATATATATATATATATATGTGTGTGTGTATGTATATATATATATGCGTGTGTGTGTATGTATATATATATGCGTGTGTGTGTATGTATAT